TTCTCTTTGTTCCGCGAACGCTTTGACGCAATGGCGTAGACTTCCCCACTTCGTGAAATAATCCATAACCACCATCATGCATTTATTACCAGTCTCGGTCGTGGGGAATGGTCCAGCAATATCTAGGACGATCCTCTCAAATGGGCTACAACGTTGTATTGCTTCATAGGAGCCTTCTTTTTTCGCTGAGGTCCATTACTCATAGCACAGCTGGTACATTTCTTACACCAGTCCTTTACATCATCGGAACTATTCATCCAATAAAACCTTTCCCGAACTCTCTGAAGGGTTTTCCTAACACCGAGATGTCCTCCTGATGGACTGTCGTGTAACTGACGAAGTACTTCGGCTACTCTACTCCTTGGAATGACCAACTGTCTTCTGTTCTCGGAACCATCATCATTTTCAAGTACTCGCTTTAATAAGCCGTCTTCCAGGATAAAGGAGTCCCATTAAACCCAATATGACAACTACTGGAGAGAGATTAGATATTTCTTGCCAAGTAGGTCGACGATTTTCCTCTTTCCATTGTCGCATCTTCTTTAAAACAGTATCGTTCTCTTGTTCTCTAATTTTAGCAGTGGCCTACGCATCGTTGACTACAGTTATTCTTAGTGGTCAACTTTCTTTGGATTCCGCTTTGTTGCAGTGGGAGCACTCTGCTGGACACGGTATTCTAGAAAGAGAATCGGCATTTCTGTAGCTTATTCCGGCTCTATGTTCAATTTTAAAGTCGTGTTCCACGCATTTCACAACTGCCAGGAGTTCTCTTCTCGTGACGCAGTAATTTCGCTCAGGTTTCGAGAGCACTTTACTAAAATAACCCAAAACTCTTTCTTTTTCCCCTTGAATCTGTGAAAGCACTCCACCATTTCCCACACTACTGGCATCAGTATCCAGGATAAATTCTCCCTCTGGTAGTCGGTAGCCTAATATTGGCGCTGTTGTTAAATGGTTCTTTAAAGTTTCGAAGGTAGTTTGGCAGTCTTCGTCCCAGCAAAATTCTCTTGCTTCTTCTATGAGTCGCGTTAGTGGTTCAACAATATCTGCAAACTTTCTGATGAATCTTCGGTAGTATGTACAAAGCCCAAGAAAACTTCTTATTTGGTGTCTATCCTTTGGTTGTGGCCACTCTTTGATAGAAGCGACTTTTTCCTTGTCTACAGCCACGCTATCCTTGCTGACTATATGACCCAGGTAATTAACTTTATTTTGAAATAGTTGGCACTTCTTGGGGTTTAGCATCAGTTGGGCAGCTTGAAGTCTTTTAAAAACATCTTCTAAGTTTTTTTGATGTTCATCAAATGTCTTCCCCAAGACTATGATGTCGTCTAAATACACCAGGCATGTTTTCCAGGATAACCCTCTCAGTACATTTTCCATAAGTCTTTCAAATGTCGCGGGGGCATTACATAATCTAAATGGGATAACATTGAATTGCCACAATCCAGATCCGGTGGTAAAAGCTGTCTTTTCTTTGTCTACTGAGTCCATTTCCACCTGCCAGTATCCAGACTTCAAGTCTAAGGTAGAGAATAGTTTACTTTCGGTCAATGTGTCCAAGGTATCGTCGATACGAGGCAGAGGGTAACATTGTTCAACTGACGGTAATCCACACAGAACCTCGTAGTTCTATCCTTTTTCTGGACCAGGACTACCGGAGAGACCCATGGGCTGATAGAAGGTTATATCACCCTGTCTTCCTTCATTTCCTGAACAATCCTTTCAGCTTCCTCTCTCTTGGCCTTTGGTAACCTTCGAGCTGATTGACGAATCGGCCTGGCGTCACCAGTGTCAATTTTGTGTTTTACAGGAAGTACTTCCTGTTTTTCCATGTTTTAATACAAAAATGTCACGATATCGTCGAAGAAATTCCTTTATTTTCTTTTTCTCTAATTGATTCAGAGATTGACCAGCAATTGCAATCATTTGCTCAAATTTGTCATTGGAATTATCAGAAGTTGTTGTCTGACGAATTATGGAAGTTACTGGTAAACAAGTTTCGATTCTGGTCTCTTTCTTGATGGTAATCGGGTGATCATTAACGTTTATGAGACGGACTGGAATTTCTTTAGCAGTCATGACCAACCCCTTTCCGATCAGAATGCCTCGTCCAACCTCGTCATCGTGGTTTCAAGGTTCCATCATTACAGGTGTTTCTTCTTCCATAGTTTCTTGAAGCCGTTCTATTAAAACGGTTTTACTTCTTCCAGGTACCACCGTATCCTCCGGTACAGCAACTGGCCCGGTACTGTCCCCATATGGATGTAGGAATACCTCTTCGGCACCAACTTTGATCACTCTGTTCTTATAGTCTAACTGGAAACCATGTAAGTTCATTACATCCATTCCAAGTATAGCATCTTCCTCGATATCAGCAACAATAACAGTATGAGTGAACTTTTCTGTACCAATTCCCAATTGAATCTGGATTTCCCCATGGATGTTGGCACCTTCACCTGTGGCAGTCCACAGTCGCAATCTTGTTGGTAGAAGTTTCTTACGGTTATTTATGGTTGTTGGTCGTACAATAGTCCTAGTTGCTCCAGTATCCACCAACAGTGTATACTTTTTACTATTTACTTCGCCGTCTACGTATACACTATCATCGCGACATTTCAAAGAGGCTATTAGTATGAGAGGGTCTTTGGAACGGTTTCGGGTCGAAGCTGCCCCCTCTAGGCCGACCCGCTTTAGTTTTCCTGCGGCGTGTTGTCTTGATTTGTTGGGACCCTAGGACGTTTGCACGAACTGCGTACTTGTCCCAGTTCACCTGATAGTCTTCGTCTTTATCTTTCTGTCAGTAAGGCTCTTCATCATATTCACCAGTTGATCGAGTTTACCTTCCTCTTCTTCCTCTTTTATGGTCTTCACTTTATTGTATCCACCAGAAGCCTGCGTAGCTGCCTCATATTCAAGGGCAGCGGACAAGACATCGATTAATGTTTTGTGACGGGCTAGACGAAGTGTTCTTTGCATCTCGTGGTCACGAAGTCCATCAACAAATGTTTGGACTGCTAAACATTCCATCATGTTTTCCGGAGCTAATGGATAAGCAAATCGCACCAACCTGGCAATATCTATTTCATATTCCTGAAGAGTCTCGTCTCGTCTCGTTTCTGTTTACGATTCTTCAACTGTGACTGGTACAAATGCTCCAAGTGTTCGTGGCCATATCGCATATTTAGTCTTTTTTGAGTTCTTCAAAATCATCTGTCTCTTCCACGGGTATAGTCTGAAGGACATCCAAAGCGTCTCCTCGAAGAGCGATGGTCAAATGTATTGCCTTCTCTCGTTCAGACCACTCGTTTGTTCTGGCAGCTGTTTCGAACTGCTTAAAGTAGTTCGTCCATGACATCTTTCCGACAAAAGTTGGGACTTTAACACGAGCAGAGTTTACACCTCCTTCCAATTTCAACTTCGACTCCAATTCATGGCACTTAATTTCACCGTTCTTGGCCGGGTCTGAATGTTTCAGTTCTTCTATCTTCTTTTCCATCTATTTTATTTTCTCCTCAACGGAAGTCATTATTTTCTCCTCAACAGAAGTCATCTTATTTTCCACATCAGCAGAAATTTCATTTTTCAGAGAAGACATTTTGTTTTCCAAGTCAGAAGAAATTTCATCTTTTAAAAAAGATATATCAGAAGAAACTTTAGTTTCGAGAGATTTCATTTTTCACGGAAGACATATCAGAAGATACCTTTTCTTCTAAGGAAGAAATATCAGACGAAACTTTATTTTCTGAAGAGAAAATGTCGGAAGAAATTTAGTTTCTAATGGGGAAATATCATTTTTTTATGGAGGAAACATCTGAAGAAACTTTAGTTTCCATGGAAGAAATATCGGTTTTTAAAAAAGAAATGATAGAAGACGCATCATCAGGAAATATATACGTTTCCGGATCCAAACCTTTACTGTCTAGTGCCTCTTTAAGCCGCTCTGCTTTTTTTCCTGTCGTCTCCAGATCACGATCTTCTAATTCTCGACGCGATTCAGCCACTTTTAAATCACACAGTTTTTTAGCCATTATTGTCCACTATTCATTTACACTATCCCACTTCTGACACCAATGTTATGTTTGTTTATTTTAAACAACAGTTTATTTATTAATAATTTATTTAAACACTTACTTGTTTTATAACACTACTATTCTAATTTATATATATTTCGAATGTCTTTAAACTGTTCACTATTTATCTTCACTGTCCATATATCTAATGATCTCCCGTTGATCCTCCACCAATATTTATATACAAATTTAAATTATTGGTGGGCTTCCAGAACGTTCTCGCCAAAATTAGTAATATCTCATTTTATTTGGAATAGATTAGAAACATTATCCCGTTGACTCAGGAATGTTCGCGAAAGTGCCTCCGCCATAGTCGTCACATAGGTTTGGTCTTAAGGGGTTTAATTATGTACAATAATCGGACAAGTTGAGCCTCAAAGGCCAAATAAGACAGAGAGGGACTTGGAGGATTAGAGCATGACTGAATAATGAAATGGCTCACATTACAATACACTAAACCTAAACGCCCTAGAAATGAAATATTGACTGAAGAAATTAATTAGGTAGGAACTTGAGGATGAAGACCCATTTTTTTAATTAATTTCTTTAAACACTCAGTATTTGGATTTTTGTGAAATAAATTACATATACTTCGTGATCAGTTTCCGATGTACATATTTGCATAAACATTAGATTCGCGTGCAAATAAATTTTAACCTAGATCTAGTTTTATCAATTTTTAGAACCGCGATTGTTAAACACATAGGTACCTATTCTATGCAATAAGGTCTTTTTCGTTTATTGATAACATTTACTAGACTTCGTTTACATTTACATACTAAACAAAATACAGATTACAATTATTTATATCAAACCAATTATGTCAGAATTGTACTGAATACATAATAGAAATCGTTTTATTTTCTTTAAATTGTTAAAAGTATAAATTTTAGTCAGTACACAGTTTGTTTTTAATTCTCTACCAAAATGCTAACAATAAACATTATTTTATTAATTTCACTATTTTTTGGTAATATTTTTAATACTCCGATAGCAGATAAAAAAGAAATTGAATCGAATCTGGACTCTTGGAATGAATTTGATCTTCAGAATCCTGAAGAATTAGGAAATTATTTTGAAGGAGACCTTATTAATCCAAAGTTTGGTAGAAATGGTTTAGTTGATACGGCTTCCAGGTGGAATAAAGGGATAATACCATATGAGATCAGTAGAAATTTTCAAACACAGGATAAAAATGTAATTCTTCAGGCTATGAATGTATACAGTAAATATACTTGCATAAGGTAAATAAATTATTTTTTTGAAATTAAAACAATTGTATTACATTGACAAATTTAAGGTTACATTTTTAAACCTAAATTTAACTTTTAAACTTGCTTCTTCCTAGTTTTAGACCTAAGACTCCTGATGACAAAGACTACATATCTATTACGAATTATAATAATGGGTGTTGGTCTCAAGTTGGTAGACAAGGTAAAAAACAAGAAGTCAATCTACAAAGTCCACAGTGCACTAAAAAATTGGGAACATCTTTACACGAATTGATGCATGCTGCTGGATTTCTTCATGAACAGAATAGAAACGAAAGAGACGACTTTGTTACTATTAAATGGGATAATATCAAAGATGGTATGTATGTTGGATTGGTAATTTAAAATATTCATTAGTTATATGTTTATCCCTTGGTAGTGAACTTTTTTAAGATTATACATTCAAGAGGTGTGGTGTTTTCTTGTCTCAAAGAATATAATCCTTACCTTTGGTGCCTTTGCTCTAGAAATTATTCGGGCGCCAGTTTTATTAATGTAGTTTTCACCACAACCCTTCGATACAGCTTGCGAAAGGGCTCGAGGCAGCTTCAGATAGAGATAACAGAAAATTTCAGTCACGTTATCAGAAAAAGTAACATTAACTGAAACGTAATAAAACACATCTGCGTAAAAAAGTAACTAAATCATAGAAAAATATGTGAAATAAATCGTAAAGTCCTTGTCTTGTTTTCAAATTTAAATCGCAAGTAATTATTAACTGAAATAATATTGACCAACGCCTATCGCATGCATCCATAGGTCAACACTATAGGTATGGTTTTAAATAAAGCTAAATAAAAATAACGATAGCAAGGGTGTTAAGGTGTTCGAATAAACCTAGTATATTCGGTTGTTACTAAATAAAATTAGATAAATATTTGTAATCGCCACCCCTTGTCTGGTTTTTAACTTCAAAACGTGGGAAATTGTTAAATGAATTAACATTGACCAACAGCTATCCCGCTCATAGTTCAACACTAGGTACTTATGGTCAGTGGCGGCTGGTGCATAAGTGCTGTAGAGCTGCAAAACTGTCAAAAAATGCAATATATTTCACAGACATTATTATAGACATTCTAAAATATACATAAAGTAAATTTTATGGAAGAAGTTAGCCATAACGCACACGCCTCATGAATTATGGAAGAACGACAAAATTAACGACATGTACAGGCAGAAGAATGCCAGTACTTAATAACTGAAGAGGCAACTAGAGTTTTTAAGAGCACCCACAATTGAAAATCGCTGGGACCAGACATGCTACCAAATTTTTGGGTGAAACAGCTGACTGCTCTTCATGAACATCTTCTACGAGCATTAAATAATATTATCAAAGAATCAGAAAATATACCACAATGGTTGACAATTGGTAAGACTTACTTTCTAAAGATCAAAACATCAAATATCCAAAGAATGGCTGACCGATAACTTGCTTACCTACTTACTAGAAAGTCCTAATATCAGCATTAACAAACCGGATTTTCTCTCATCTACCAATGAAATCCTCCCTGCAGAACAGAAAGGGTGCAGTAGAGGTTCAATGGGATGCAAAGATCAATTATTAATAAGTAAAATGGTAGTTTCAATGATAAAGAAATACAAGCTAAGCCTTGTATTGGCCTGGATTTGAATATAAAAAGGCTTTCGATAGTGTGCCACACTCCTGGATAACGACAATAATAGAAATGTACGGATTAAATACAACTCTAACCCCTCCTGTGGTTTGTTTGGGTAGCGGGTAGATTTTAGAGTTCTTTGGAAATAAAACTTTATTCTAACAATTTATATAGAGATAACAATATTTACAATATGTACATGAAAAGGTTCTGGCTAAATTTCAATTCGTCGTGTCTTCAAATTTCCCAAAGTATATTTCGGGCGTTGCTTCGGCATGGCGTAATGGTCCAGGAGAAGATGAGACAAGAGCTTAGCTTAGCTCGAAGTCAGTACCTTCGTGGGAGAGATTCACGAGGAAGTCAATACCTTTGCAGGTAATGGTCGGGACGTGTCGGAAAGGCTATAGAGTCAATATCTCTGCAGGAGCAGGAGAGGAGAGTCTTGATAAGTCAATACCTTAGTTCGACTGACGATAATTAAATGCGGAGGTCTTTATATATACTTGTATCTGCTTGGCAAAAACGGCTGCATGCTGAACCATAGGCGCTCCTAGAATGGTGTTACTGGGGAACATCGTTACACAACCATAGCACAATATATAAATGTTTCCATACAAAACAGGAGCACAGAAATAATGCTGTCTCATGCCAATGGTACCATATTCACTATTACCACTCATCAGGATTCAAAATCGGTGATGATAAAATAAACCACCTACTTTATATGGAGGACTTAAAATTATTCACAAAAGACGAAGAACAACTACAACACGAGCACTTATCATTGTTAAAAAGTTTAGCAGTGACATAAAGATGGAATTTGGTTTTGATAAATGTTCGACAACTGTGTACAAACGAGGCAAACAGGTTAAATGCTAAAATAACTGTTTAGATGATCATTGTTATTATGTGGGATATGCCTATAATTACCGATAAGACAAACTTAGCCAACAGACCAGACATTGTACTGCACGATAAAGAAAACAAAATATGTCTTCTGATCGATATTAATTCTAGATGATTCAAACATCATCCTAGCAGAGAATCAGAAAAAATAAGCAAATATAAAGACCTCCAGATTGAAGTGAGCAGAATGTGGAATATAAAAACAAAAGTAGTACCGGTTATAGTGGGAGCATTGGGTACAATAAAAACTGCTCTAAACAACTGTCTCCAATTGCTCCCAGACCAACTATCTAGAAATGAAGTGCAGAAAATTGCACTGATAGGACCTGCACATATATTACGCAAGGTGCTAGGGTGAAAACCTTTGACCTCTTATTGAAATCTGTTTTCACCAGAAATACCGCCTAAACTATAGCGGCGAGAAGAACAAAATAATAAAAACTAATAATAAAAATAATAATAGTGGCGCTGGGAAACAGTAACATAGCCTAAATTAGATTAGGAGGCTCCTAATCATAGCAGTTGATGGCGATAACACAAAAAACAATCATAATAATATATAATTCACATATACCTAACGGACCCTATATAACATTTTAAAATATAATCTGTTACAATTCAATGACTCAATCAGTGTTTCAACTTTTTTTGCAAACATTGGTGGGCCATGATCAATAGTCACGTTTTAACACGTTGACTGCCAACTACGAGATAACTCGTAGATTGCGTGCTTTTCTAGGACGCCAACTACGAGTTATCTCGTCCTGTATTAACTTGCCATTTTGTGCAGCTACGATTAAATATATCAGTACTAATATCGATAGATGGCTTCTGGAAAAATAACAACAAATCACTACTGGCTTGCATGAACAGAAAATTTATTAAAAAGGAACAAAGAATATAATTATAAAAATTAGTTCAAATTCAAGAAACAAAATAATATTTTATTGTTTGTGAAACTTTTTAAAACAACTTTACACACAAAGGCTTTACAGGCTGGACAGAAATAACGCGTTTCTCGGAGTTTTTCTGCTTGAATACATATACGACATGGTATGTGAGACGCTGTTTTTTTCGGTGGGTGGTAGACTCTTTAAATATTGGAGCTCTTGCAATTTAATTACTTTCGAAACTGGTTGCATCTCTTTTCCAATCGCTACTGTCGTTACTATCCTCGCCAAAAATCCCGTCAAATTCTGAATCACTTTGATTTGCGTAGTACTCAATTTTGAGTCAGTGGTCTTTTCTTATCCATATTGGGTTCTTGATAATTTAATTATAACAATAATTATAAAACAAAACACTCAAGAAAGACGTACATGTGATGCACTCGACAATTTCTTAAATACTACTGACGAATATGGATGCGTATCTGTGATTCAGCTTTAAGGTACCATTTCGGTAGGCGCGACAAACGACAACCGACGCGACAGACGACAACAGATGCGACCGAGAACGGTCTCTTCAAGTCTGATATACATGCAATTATATGAAACACATTTCGCACGGCACGACACTTCTCGACGACACTTTGGATCGGTCTCCAGGCAAAGCGTTTGCTGCGTGCCGCACTCGAGGTCATTGTCCTCAGACATCTCTTGTATTTGGAGGTGATTAGGTTGGAAATTTCTTTCGATCTAGGCAGTGTTGCCAGATGCTGGAACAGTATGGGTGAAAAAAAAGACCATAGATCTGAACAGTAGATTTTAATACAGGGGTAAATAATTATAATTTGCGTGTAGTAAATAAAAAAGTATATAAGAAACGAAAAATAAACATTTTTCTACCCAAATCAGAAAGTAAACAAAGAATAAAAATAAATAATAACATTTTTAATATATAATTAACGTACGAAAAAAAAAACAATGAAAAATAATAGGTACCTACTTATTTTAGATCAGTCTGAATCAGATAATTCAAATTCGTTGTGTTTGGCATGCATGTTCTTTTTATGACGCCCTATTAATTCTTTGTTTCATTTTAAATAAAAACATAATGATTATCTTGATGTTTTTTTTATGGAGCCAACCTACAGTAGTGGATGCTTATTACGCTGCTTTTACTTCAGCAGGTTTACTAGAGAAAATATTCTTTGACCATTTACTGAAGAATGAGGCAAACTTAATAAATAAAGAACAAAATTTGCTAGAGACAAAAACAGTGGATCTCCTTAAAAACAATAGGTCTGGCAACGCTGGATCGTTAACTCGAATAGGTGTCGTGCTACCTGTCTCCTTGCTTCCCAAATGTACGGAGAGTAACATTCATGCATTTGTCGTCCTTGGGGTCGCCTCAGTGGTCTCCTGTCTCCTGACGCGCCTACCGAAATGGTACCTTCAGAGAAGCGACAGGTCGAAGCGTGCGAATTAACTCGTAGTTGGCTTCCGTAAAGAGATTTCTGTTACAGAAGCCAACTACGAAATAATTCGTAAGACCTTTAAAAAAAAAACATTTTTTATGCTTTTTGGTAATAACTATGCACTATAATTAGTTTTTACTAATATAATGTGTCATTTAGGCCAGATTTCTGAAAATTGCCGTGGCATTCAACGTGTTAACAAATGCCAATAATTGCAAGGTAAAATATCAAACCTTTTCTGAGAAGTTTCTATCTAAATGTATACCCCTCTATATTAGTTTAAAATAAATATGTTTCAATTTTAAAACATAAAATATTAATAGTTATTTATACAATGTTTGCCATAAAGTTGGATCCATATAGAATTTTTTTGCTTATTTAAAAACTTAAAATAGTCCTATTGATATTATAGTTTTGTGTCAAATTCACATTTAAAAAAATGTTTTAACGATTTTTCAAAGAAATACAGAATTTAAAAGTTAACTATAATGTATATAGCGTTTAGTGAGAACATCAGTGACGTAACTCAAAAATACACGTTTTTGACTTGTGTACTTCAAAAAATTGCTTAATGTAGCCCGCAACTGGTACATAACTGGCGAAATTATAGTTCTACTACTGTCCGTTCGGTGGCTGTAGTTGTCAGTAATGCTTGGTATTTTTATTTTCACCTTCGAATACAATACTGACGAATGTAACATTATTAATATTCATTTACTTAAAAAAAAAACCTGTTACATTATAACTTAAAGATATTTAAAATTTTGAGAGAAAAAATCGGTAAGATAGCTCCAAAATATGTTTCAATTTTAAAACATAAAATATTAATAGTTATTTATACAATGTTTGCCATAAAGTTGGATCCATATAGAATTTTTTTGCTTATTTAAAAACTTAAAATAGTCCTATTGATATTATAGTTTTGTGTCAAATTCACATTTAAAAAAATGTTTTAACGATTTTTCAAAGAAATACAGAATTTAAAAGTTAACTATAATGTATATAGCATTTAGTGAGAACATCAGTGACGTAACTCAAAAATACACGTTTTTGACTTGTGTACTTCAAAAAATTGCTTAATGTAGCCCGCAACTGGTACATAACTGGCGAAATTATAGTTCTACTACTGTCCGTTCGGTGGCTGTAGTTGTCAGTAATGCTTGGTATTTTTATTTTCACCTTCGAAGGCAATACTGACGAATGTAACATTATTAATATTCATTTACTTAAAAAAAAACCTGTTACATTATAACTTAAAGATATTTAAAATTTTGAGAGAAAAAATCGGTAAGATAGCTCCAAAATATGTTTCAATTTTAAAACATAAAATATTAATAGTTATTTATACAATGTTTGCCATAAAGTTGGATCCATATAGAATTTTTTTGCTTATTTAAAAACTTAAAATAGTCCTATTGATATTATAGTTTTGTGTCAAATTCACATTTAAAAAAATGTTTTAACGATTTTTCAAAGAAATACAGAATTTAAAAGTTAACTATAATGTATATAGCATTTAGTGAGAACATCAGTGACGTAACTCAAAAATACACGTTTTTGACTTGTGTACTTCAAAAAATTGCTTAATGTAGCCCGCAACTGGTACATAACTGGCGAAATTATAGTTCTACTACTGTCCGTTCGGTGGCTGTAGTTGTCAGTAATGATTGGTATTTTTATTTTCACCTTCGAAGGCAATACTGACGAATGTAACATTATTAATACTCATTTACTTAAAAAAAAAACCTGTTACATTATAACTTAAAGATATTTAAAATTTTGAGAGAAAAAATCGGTAAGATAGCTTCAAACGTATAGCCAAAAAAAAAAATAATTTTCGTACAAACTTTAACCGCGTTTATCTTAGATCAACATATTCGGAGTTAGGTCACTAATGTTCTCACTAGGCGAATTAGGACCTAGACAATTTTAATATGGGCTATATTAAGTGTTAAAAAAAGCACGTTTTCTTTCAACCCTAATATTAAAAAATTCCCATTATGGATCCACTGTATATGAACCTGAAAACAATAAACCTGTTGATGTAAACGCTCAAGTCATTGAAGTATTATTTTTCAGATAGAGAACGAAATTTTGATAAAGCAGAAGAAGGTTATGAACAAGGTTTTGGAGTACCCTATGATTTTGTATCTGTAATGCATTACTCAAGTTATGCGTTCTCTTCTAATGGTGAACGCACTATCATAACCAAAGTAAGTAAAATTATAATCTCAATAAATTAGACATGTTTCAATGTTATCATCAATATTTTAGATGTAAAACGTAATAGTTATTTGTGTACCAATAAGACCGTAAAGTTGATCTTTGACCGAATCAGAAATTTGCGGCCGAGGCCAAGAAACTTCTGGTGATCGTACGGCCGAGGTGCACACATTTTTTAGGAGACTGTCTCATCAAGTAGAACCAATATTGTTTTACATTCTTGTTTTTGAAAAGAGGCTTAAGTGCAAGAATTGTTTCAAATTTTTATTGATCAATTAAAAATCCACCGTTAACTAAGAAAATTTGTACGAGTTACTAACGATAAGTATGATAAACCTGGGTTTATAAGAAGCGGCCGTAAAGAATGCTGCCAAAAGAACACTTTAGGGATGTTAATAAATCCAAAAAATATAATTTTTTGTGACAGTCGCCTAAAAATTAATTAGGAAAGGCCAGTCGTTTCCAGTCTACCTTCTTCCTACAATCCCTACTCCATGGAGGAAGGATCCCTATCTTCTAAATTGTGAGAGCGATTAATGCACTATTCTCAATAGACGATATGGATCAGAATTATTTGATACATTCGGCTTGTTTCGGGACATTCTCCCAATAATTATTGTATTTTTTTTTAACCTATTCATTTATATGAAACCTCCAACTGTATTTTGTGTTACTCTAAGGCAGGCCTGCACAACATACGGCCCGCCTTTGTCGTTTTGGCGGCCCGTTGGCCATTGACTAGTTTGGCCTACCTACGTCAAACTATACATTTTTCAGTAGCTTGCATTTAGGTTTTTTTTTGAAGCTCCACCAGCAGGAGTTGGTTTAGAAATTATAAGCTGACGACCTTATTTTTTTTTAGAAAAGCTTAGCAGAATTATAACGCGAGGACCTTTTTACAGACCACTATCAGGCCGGCCCTCATACACTTACACGGTTTTTCAAACTGGCCCTTTGAAAATCTAAGTTGTGCAGGCCTGCTTTGCTAAAGTTTATATCTGATTCTGGTATGTCTTCGGACACTCTTTTTGCGAGATCGTCAGCCTTTTCATTGCCCTCGATCCCTTGATTATCAGGAATAACATAAACTAGTTTTACTCTATTTCGGTCTACCAGTGTTCTCAGTTCCTCGATGTCACTTTCTGATAGTACAGGAGTGTTACATGATTGTGGTGCAGTATTATAGTATTTGGACCGTCTAGTTTTAAAATGAAATCACTGTACATTAATAAATCTATAAAAATGTGGTTATCTACAACTGCGTGTTATAAATGTGATTTGTTCTTTTTATATTTTCTTTCAAACCAAATATAGAGAATATATTTTTAGGACCCAAAAAACCTTGATAAAATTGGTCAACGACGAGGCTTCAGTATAGGAGATATAATGAAAATTAATGCAATGTACGATTGTCCTGAAAAAACACAGCAGCTTAATCTTACCGGTGACATCATAGAAACACTAACTAACAACAATGGCAATCAAAAAGAACAAGAAAGAAATACACTATGGGAGGCTGTAAATAATTTTTTTTCAATTTTTGACGAATAATAAATTTTACTAAAGACATTTTAGAATTTTTTTTGGCATAGACAACTTTCCTTTCAGCCAGACACAGATTTATCCATAATTAGAACTACCCAAGAAGAACGATGTATGACATGGACACTCGCTCCTCGTCCAGGGAGCTATCAGGACTTTTTTTTTAATAGACAAACAAAATAGGCTTCGGTAAGGGGGTAAACAAATAGATATAATGTAAAGAAAAGATTAATATTCCAATCATAAACGAATCTTAGGGTCTCTCAGAAATGGGCTTGGAAAATTAAAAAAAAAAAGTATATTTTTTTATCAAAAATAATGTTACAAGAATAATAGCGTTTACTTCAAGTTGCTAGGATTAGTATTATCATGAGAATGCCTGAGCCGACTCTGTCTAGAGCGCGACCTTGAAGTCTGCCACCCGACTCATGGTCAAAACCGGAATCTTCTAGGTATGCCGCTGACGCATAGCGAAAGCACTTCTCAAACGATTCGAGATTCTTCCAGAAGGATTGATTCAATCTGAGCCGTTAGATTTTTATATAAATAGTCGCGACTTTGTCGACCAGAAGTTAAGTTTGAATTTAGGAGGCTTACATTATGCAGTTTTCACTAGTTTGGGCGTAACTTTTTTATTTTTGAATATATTTGAATGCGACTTGAATTATTCAATTCTTAATCAACTCCTGGAGTACGGAAAGTTATTAAATTTATTAAAAGAATATGTGCTTTTTTATTTAAATTCACTCATTTTTTGTCCGATAATTTGAGTCTCCCTGTAGATATCAAAGGTTTCTTGGCACCTTTCTAATGAGCACAAAACTGCACAACTTTTGTCTAATTTAACCAACTTTCTATGTTACCGTTTAATAGATAGTAATACTGTCCCTATGAAATAGTAGGGAACCCTGTATAATAAAAAAAAGAGATTCCTACTTAAAAATTAAAATGGTAAAATAATTCTAATTATTTTTGAGTTTAAGAAAAAAGTAACTTGAAAAATTTGTTTGTTTTATGGAATTCCTAACTACTCTATTAAAAATAGACATCTATGAAACACCCTTAATGTATAATTGTTATATTTATTAGGGAAATAAAAAGGCACTGTGCGCAAAAATCTTGTTATATTAGATTCTATAAATAAATAGAAACGTAGAAAAATATATTTTTTTAAAATTACAACAGATTAAATAAAATGTAAATAATAGGTACGATAAATGCCGACGAATACATCGTCGTGCCTGTAACACAGGCAAATAAAAACCAAAGTAGGGAGAAGACTAAACCTTGCCATACGAGGTGGACTCCCAATAAACTAAAAACAAAAATCAATTAATTTAATACAAATTCCTAGAAGCAAATAAAAACTCACATGTTGTCTTTAGTTTTAGCTTTACTTAAAGTCTTCAATGGGTCCTTGTTCAAGTAAACTCGCGCTCCCATTGCCAAATCGTTAAAATAATTAGGCCACGATAATTCTTCCAAATTAACATTGAAAGTCTTTTGATCTTCTTTATTTAAGGATTCCTACAAAAAGATAAAGCAAACATTAAAAATCCATCTTTTTTTGCAAGATTAAAGAAAAAAAGGGACATAGGAAAATGTAAAATAAACAGCAAACAATAAGAAACAGTAGGAAAAACTGTATCAAAAAAATTACCACCAGAATCATGTAAATTTTTGTATTATCAAATTTATGATGATATAGCTTTGTTTTCAGTATATCAAGGAATAAAATTCAAGAGGCACTAGATCTGGTGAGCGAGGGGGGCTTTTATCATGCCTCTCGTACTAATTAAAGAACTGGGAAATGAGTATGGAGTGATCAACGAACAAATGTTTTTAAAGTAGGCATTGGAAAAGTTCAGGCGTGTCGTAAGGTATAATTTGGAGCCTTGCGGAGTCTACATGGTCTACTTTAGACATATTTTTGTGGATCACTCCTTATTATGTATCTGCATAGATTGTTTTTAATGAGGAGCTTAAAGGTTTGTTATGCAAAAGTGGCGAAAATTTCAAATTCTTGGCCAAAATTAAAAATCTTTGTCGTGGATTTTGTTTTCTTTAAAACGGGTGCAAAATATAAATTGAAGATAGTATCTATAGTGACAGTAATATAAACTGCTCACAGAATTAGTCGGTACAGCTAATTTTATCGTCATAAACGGCTTAGTCGATTTTTAAAAATGAAGAAGATTCTGAAAGTTCATTATTTCTTGTATCAATGGCTAGATGTGATTTTCAGTAAAAAGAGATTTTTCAGTGTTGTACAGGGTGTGAAAGAATACAATATAAAGAACTTTCATCGTAATCACATTTAGAAGTTTTGGCCGATATCTGGGGACGTATTTGACAGTTTTGTATTTTTTGTATAGAAAAAAGTTACAGGGTATTTTCAACAACCAGAAACTGTTGACAGCTAGTTTGTTAAGCTTAGTTCATATTTAACAAGTAGTAATAAATGTTGATAAAAATTTTAAAAAACCGTGCTCCAAAATCCATATTATTTAAATAAAACAGAAGCAAATGAAAAAACAACAATTTTAAATGAATTCTCTACACAATTATTTGCTTTGAAATACTTGAATTTCAAACAGTTGTCGCTCAGATGGCGCTAGATATATTCTGGTGAGTTATAGTCCTGTTTAGAGGGACATTTCTACTATCATTTGCGGAGTTTTCGGAAAAAAATACACCAATGTGTGGCGATCAGCGAAAATGTTTATTTTGTTAAATTTTTTTGAACAACAAAACAAGTATTTCAATTTCTTACCTGCAATTCTTCAGTTTTACTCGCGTAAAATTTCCATTCGGAAAATATAAATTTCTCCAACATTCCTAACGAGTTGTTAACGTTTGTATGTAATCTCATTAAACTAAAAAAAAAAAAAAAAAAAAATGTTATTAGGTTATCTCACCAAAGATATACAGTATATCCCCTTAGGTCGAAATCATATGGAAAACTTTTTTATTATTAATTTTAGGAAAAAAAGTTATTCTTCATAAAAAGTTTTGCATTATCTAAAACCTAGAATACATTCATCAAATATCAAATTTTTTTCAATGGTATACGAGGTTTGTCAAAAAATATGAATTTTACTCAAGAGTACCTTTATTCTTTATACGACTGATAAAATTTGATATCTGATGGTTGTATTTTAAGTTTTAGACCATGCTCGACTTTTTATAAAGAATAACTTTTTTTCCTAAAATTAGTAATAAAAAAGCTTTTCTATGCCACCAACTGTCTACGTAAATTGGCGGCATATGAAAATCTTTTTTATTATTAATATTGGGAAAAAAGTTATTTTTTATAAAAAGTCGAGCATTGCCTAAATCCTAAATTACAACCATCAGATATCAAATTTTATCAGTCGTATAAAGAATAGAGGTACTTTACTCTTGAGTAAAACTCATATTTTTTGACAAACCTCGTATACCACTGAAAAAATTTGATATTTGATGACTGTATTCTAGGTTTTAGATAATGCAGAACTTTTTATGAAGAATAACTTTTTTTCCTAAAATTATTAATAAAGTTTTCCATATGATTCCAACCTAAGGGGACATACTGTATAAATAAGTCAGATAGGATTTCGGAAAGTGCGACAGACGACAACAAACGCAACGGCAAAGGCGACCAAGAACGGTCTCTTCACGTCTGAACACATGCAATTATATGAAACACATTTCGCAAGACGCGACACGTCCGAGAGACAGAAGTCGACGACACATTAGATCGGTCTCGGGGTAGAGCGTTTGCTGCCTGTCGCACTCAGTGCTCACTGTCCTCAGTCAACGCTTGTATTTCAAGGTGATTAGTCGATATTTTATAGAAATGGTAGTTGGAAAGTTCTTTCGATCTAGGCAGTATTGTCAGATGAACATTTTCTGGAACAGTAGGGTGAAAAAAAAAACCGTAGATCGGAACAGGGGGAAATAATTATAATTTGCAGTGAAGTAAATAACAAAAAACAAGTATATAAGAAACGAAAAATAAATATTTTTCTACTCAAATTAGAAAGTAAACAAAGAATAAAAAATAATAACATTTTTAATATATACTTAACGTACGGAAACAAAAAAGAAACCAATGAAAAATAATAGGTACCTACCAGATAATTCAAACACGTTGTGTTTGGCATGCATGTTCTTTTTATGATGCCCCATTAATTCTTTATAGCATTTTAAATAAAAACATGATTATCTTGAGTTTTTTTTACGGAGCAAACCTACAGTAGTGTATGCTTATTACGCTGCCTTTACTTCAGCAAATTTACTAGAGAAAATATTCTTTGACAATTGCTGAAGAATGAGGTAAACTTAATAAATTAAGAACATAATTTGCTAAGTTGACGAAAACAGTAGATGTCATGCCTAAAACAGGAGAACAGAGACAAAAACAGTGGATCTACTTAAAACAGTAGATCTGACAACACTGATCGTTCCCTCGAATTGTGGTCGTCTTTGCCGTCGCCTCTGTTGTCGTCTGTCGTGACTTCCGAAATGGTACCTTAACGCTTTGCAACCCTGGGTACACGTACATGTATATAGATTTTATTTAATATTTTAAATCTGAAAATTCCACGCCGATGGTAATAAAACCAGAAAATATTGTCCTTCATCCTATTTTAAAGTACTTTTAATATTATTGGCGCCCCCTCCTGTGTAGCGGCGAAAGTAATTACCATTCTGTAAGTCGTTATAACCTAAAGGTTAGCGTGTCAAAATTTCTGAAAGTATTATTAAGTTTTTTGTAGTTAATTTTTGTTAAAACAGATTCATATTTTTTGTTGCTATTATTGAAGGTAGGTATTTAACCTAGAACTAAATTATTATACAGTATTACAGTTCTTTTCCTAAAAAATCGCGTTTATTCTAATGTACCTCTGTATGTACAAATGGTATGGAGTCTTTTATTATTATTGTACAATAGCATGTACATATGGTCTAAAGTGTTGTCAAACTTAATTGACGTATATTTCAGGCTCATCCAAATATGGACAGAATGAAACAAAAAATATAATTTAAAAAATCCCAATCATGTCCAAAAACTGATAGATTTTTTAGAAGATGGTAACATGTCAAATATTGGGGATATTGCACAACCAGGAACTGATAGATCAGATAGTGAAGTGGAAGATTTAGATTTTTATGATTCTGAAATTGTTAAGCGTCTAGGAGCAGACTGTGTGACAGACTTGAAACAGAACACATGGAAAGTCAGAAAAATGAAGACAACGAAAGTGGCCACCAGGGGCAAAAATAAAGGCTACAAGGGCAGGAGTCACATATTTTGCAGAAAATGAAATTTACATTTGTGTTTTATGGGCTTTCATGTGCAATAATTTAAGTAAAATGAATGAAATAGTTTTCTAAATAATCTTCAATTGCAAATTTCTGTTACTGTCGGTACCACATGTACACACCTATGTAAAAAAAAATTTGTAATAAGAGGAAATTTTGTTTTTCGTTTTATACCTTTAATTTCTTCTATATCAATAGCAAAATACCATCAGAAAAATATTTTTTCGAAAACACAAAAATCGGGTCTCAAAGGGTGAAGCGTCTTCGGCAGAAACACAAGCATCTGATTGACCATTATAGCCAAGTTTAGGGTGTTGTTAACAGTTGTAATGCAATCGTTCTCATACGAGATGTGAAATATAACAACTACACAATAAGAAAATCGATATTTATAAAAGTTGTTAACCGTTTTTTTTTTTTTTCATTCATCATTTAACAAATTTAACGCGGAAATTTGTTTATCATAGATTCGTCCCATAGGCGTACAAAAATACATATAAATACCAAAAACATATTTAGCCACAATAATTTATTAGTAAATTTACATTATTTACCGATTTACTTTAAAAATGTTTAATTAACTATAATAAATTTTAAATAAACTGACGTAATAGTCGGATAAAGCCTCTTCAATGAGTTTTTCAAATATTATTGAAAATAGATAATATCTTTGTTTTTCTATATATGAACTTCATTTTTCTTTACGAACAATTATTTTGATTAAAATACCACAAATTATTAAAAAAAATCTACGTATATAGGTATTTTCAACATAATAAAATAGTGTTAAGTGTTAGTGCTGAGTTTATAAACTTTGTTCAGTTGGCGTTCAGTTCTCAGTTCGAGTTGGTGAGTTCGTGCTGGACCCAGGGTTACCAGATTCTTGAAAGAGCTGACGGACAGACAGGGAAATTTAGGGGAAATAGGGGGAAGTAAAAACAACTCTGTCTATTTTGATTTTTTTAATCAAAATTACTTATTTTCTAAAAAATCCGTACCTATTTTTTGGTAAAGATAGACTGAGGTGTTTCAAATAATAAGGTGAAAATGTTGGATTTCGATTTGCCATTTCTCGATTTTCTAATTTTACATTTTCACCTTATTATTTGTAAAATGACCTCAGTGTATATTTACCAAAATTAGGTAAGGATTTCTTGCAAAATAAGTAATTCTGATTAAAAGAGTAAAAATAAACTGAGTTGTTTTTACTTCCCCCTATTTCCCCTAAAATCCCCTGTCTGTCCGTCATCTCTTTCAAAAACCTGGTAACCCTGGCTGGACCCAATTTATAAAGTCGTTGGTCATTCGTTCGTCGCTGCGAATGTTGACATTTGATTTGACAAGACAACTACAAATTCCAAGAAATAAATTATATTTCGTTATTTTGTTTTAATTATATTTGTAGATGGTGTTGATTATAAAATAATTATAAATCCGTTATAATTTCGTATCCAAAACAAACCTATCGTGTCATATTAGGATCGCGTTCACGCATGCGTGGTTAAATAATCAGATACCTGTTTTTCATTGGCTTGCCATTCTCAGCGTCAACTGAACTCGAACTGAGCGCGAACGTCAACGAACGAACTTTATAAATGACAGTGCACATTCTGCTTTGCTTATGTTGGACTCGAACTGAACGAAGTTTGTCGACGGACGATAAGATTCAATTTAAGTGTAGGAGAGAAAAGATAAATTGTAATAAATAAATTATAAATAAAGTGTTTTAAATAAATAAATTAAACAAACGTTACATAATGTACGTATAATTCAATAACACCCTGTATCATGATCATTGGAGTACTACACAAAGATTATCATTATTAAAATAGTTGTTAGTACTTACATAGGTCTACCTCCACTTAGGCGAGTGACTGTGTCTAAAATAATGGCGGGAAAGAAATGGACGAAAAGAGCGGAAATTTTATACCATGTAATGGAAGGTAAGAACTTCATATAAGGATACCAAACAGCACTTTTTAGAGGCCAGTTGTGTAAGTAACTATTAAACCTATCTTCAACTGATGACCAACGGAATGGATGTCTTGTACTAGAAGTCGCATGATAAACTGTTACTTTTGATGGTTTTGTTAAACCTAGAATTTAAATATATTTATTTATGTGCCCAAGAAACATACAATATGTTTATGCTAGAGTAATTTAAACAAGTACATTAAAAATGAAATAAAACATTCTAGCGCAAACAGTTTGTAATTATTTTAAAATTGGGGTGCGAAATTTATATTTAAAAGATTTTATCAATAAAAAATACGACATATTTTTCGTAAATTATTTACCTGCATGAAAACCAGCAGCAAGTAAATTATTAATTACAATATCGACAGGAATGTAATCATAAATTAGCTCTTTGGCAACAGGCAACCTTCTTATAACGCCTTTTGCTGCTCCCATCAAAAAACCTTGCGGTCCATTTTTGCTAATTGTCCATCCGGCTGTAGGTTCCTTCCAAGCTCCAACAACTGAAAGTGAATCAAATAAAATTCACGATGTAACTAAAACTGTGAAACCATGATCACTCATTGATGAGTTGGTGAATTTATTAATATAGCAAAACGCATTAATACTATTAAAAATATAATTGTTTACCAACTTACTCATGCTTGGACGGACAATCGAACAAGGAAATAGCGATTCACATTTTTGGATTTCATGTTCAGCCATATGTTTTGTAATGGTGTAAGTATTCGGATGATCACCTAATATTTCCGGTGTTTGACTTTGTAACTCCTCTTTACTGAGTTTCTTAACTGTAGCTATTAGTTCCTCTGCATCTGTGGCTAATGGATAAATTACCTAAAAAGGTATGATTACATTTAGATTACAATATAATTTTTCCTTCCTAAGTATGTATGTGTTTATCTAATCATACCTCTTCAGCTTCGCTTCTATAAGAATTGACGTAGGCACTGCTGACATGAACAAGAACAGTCAAGTTCCTACATTCTTTAGCCAATTTCGTGACTCTTCTTGTTCCTAGTAAATTAATGTTTACAGTTACATCTAGTGTATCTCCAAAGTCTAAAGTAGCTGCTGAATGGAATATAACGTTAACATTTTCAGTAAGCTGACGCCAGTCTTCAGGAGATATTCCCAAGTTATCTTCTCCAACATCTCCAGCGATAACTTTAACTTTAGAAAACACCTAGAAATGTATAAAAAAAAAGTAAAAAGATGTATTTGAAAAAATAAAAAAATATTTATTAAGGAAGGAATAAAAAAGCTAATTCGTTAAGAACTATTTAAAATTCACCCTAGGGTCGAATTCCTCCTATATCGAAAAGTGGCTTTCGGTCGAATCTCCTGAACTTTATTTATTATGTTGCAGTTTTTGACCTCCTAATTAAAAGGGTCCATGAGCATCAAGTTTTCCTATGACTAGTTTTCGAGATATTTGTGAATTATTATAAATTTTTTTTAAAATACTTTAAGACGTAAACGTTTGTAATTTTTCTGACATTCATAAATATTGAAAGTTGTGGTGTGACTACCAAAATACGATACTAACCATTTTGGAAAACAACTGAACAGCGCGAGTAATTTTTTAAAATAAAATACAAAAATTGCATGTTTACAAAATCGTTTTACGCTCAAAATAGTATAATAATATTATAAAAAATACATGTACATGGGGTGAGACAAAAAGTTTAGTGAGTGCCATTATTTTACGATATACCCTGTATATCGTTATGGATCCCATGTACGTAATGGGTCCCATGTAATTAGAACATCGCATAAACGAAAATATATACTTCGATCATCATATATAGGGAGAGTAAAAAGTTATATAAAGTTGAAATATACAAAGATTGCAATTTTTTTAGAAAACTCCCTGTAAAGAGATAATAATAGTGTCAAATTAATTGATACTTATTTTTATACATTCTGCAGTGTATAAAATGTACAAAAACTAAGTTTTGTTCACTAATCTGTCTTAAGTCCAATATACAGGGAAACTCACAACGAGTCTCTTATTTTGTGACATAAAAGTAGGTATGGAATAGCGAAAACATCATATACATTATTTCCATAAAAAAGTAGTATTTTAAAATTGTATTCAAAACTGAAGACTCAAAAATAACTTTGACAATATTTTATTAAAACTGTTAGGGAAGATGAATGACCCATTAATGTATCAAATTAGTATTAATTGATATCCAAACATGACAAATAACGGTCATAACATGCAAATGGCAAAAAGGAATTGAGTGATAACTGTATGTTAATAAATGCATTAAACTTTTTCTTAATTCAGATTCCGAATCTTGAAGATTACATAATTAATGACTATCACTACGTAATATAATCTAGTTTTTTTATTGTTATTGTTTTTTTTTTATTTAAATAAATATGGAAATATACAGGGTGTTCCAATGAAAACTAGCCCGTTCCAAAGCTTATAACTTTAGATTCGTGCGGTTTTCGCTGATATGTGTTATTTTGCTATAAGTTTTGGTTTAGTGACACAGAAATTATGTATTACTATTCAAAAATCTCCTCTTTTAAATTCACCGTAATCAAATTTTATCAAATTTATTTTGTAAAATACCATGTACAAATTATACATTTTTGAAAAGTAGAAGAGTGTATCTTTCAGATGACCTAAACATATACAGGGTGTTCCATTTGATAAAATTTGGTTACGGTGAAATTAAAAGAGATTTTTAAAAAACACCCTGTATAGGTAATACATAAGTTATGTGTCACTGAAGCAAAACTTATAGCAAAATAACACATATCAGCAAAAAACGCACGTTTCTACGATTAGGTGTTTAAAAGTTATAAGCTCTGGAAATGGGCTACTTTTCATTGGGACACCCTGTATTTAAATTCGTTTAAAATCTAAACTAACCTGTTCTGCACTTTTATCCTTCAATAACGTTTCAAAAACCGAATTCTTTTTTATTTCTTCCAATCTTTCTTGAATTTCTTTCCCCTTTTTCGGTCTCATGAGCAGGTTTATATCTCCATGGTCGGGAATTGTTCTGAGAATTTTTTCCAATAAACATACTCCAACAAAACCGCTTCCACCAGTAATGAAAATGTTTTTATCCTTATAGAATCCTTTTACGCCTAACGGTAACGACCTGCAAAAAATAAAGTCACTTTTACATTTTTTGTTTTTAGAGTTTTTAAGTTATAAAGAGTGATCAACAAAAAAATGTTTCTACAGTAGGTAGTGGCCGACAAAGACGACAGGTTTCTGAATAAAATCCAAACCGGTAGTAGTAGATAAGCAAAGTTTGTATCGCGATATATATAGGGAATTCAATGTGTTAGAGAGAGAGGTCCCCGGCCGCAATGCGATCGAGAGAGATAGATGTGTATTTAATCTTACGTGGTGTAGGTGGCTGACGTAGATTAACATTGGAGAGAAAAACGCCATTTTTCCCGTTTGAATTGCACTAATAGTAGCTGAGATATCGACGTAGGTCCTTTTGGCTTTGCTACTGCACATGATTTTTCTCTTCAACGTTAATCTACCCCACTTTTCCCTCACAACGCCGTTTGTTACATGTAAATTGGACCAATAGCAGCGGAGATATAGACTTAGGCCCTTGACATTGTTACTGCGCATGGTTTTTCTCTCCAACGTTAATCTACGTCACCCACCTACACCACGTAAGATTAAATATGCATATATCTCTCTCGATCGCATTGCGGCCGGGGACCTCTCTCTCTAACACATTGAATTCCCTATATATATCGCGATACAAACTTTGCTTATCTACTGGTAGTTAAAAAGAATTGAACGCTCCGATATGCGTTAATTTTTCCAATGCCTACTTTAATAACAATATATTAACCGAAGCCAAATTATGATATTTTTCTTTAACTTTTAGTACGTAGGTATATATCCCAGGATACATTTTTATAATTAACTATACAACAATAATTGTACAAGAATGTATTTATGGTTGTTGTAGGTAGAAATACTCTGTATGTCTGACCTATGGAACATTTGATTATAATAAATTTAAGGAGAAGGTTGAAATACTAGTTATATCATTAATCTATTTCACAGAAAAATATTTTAATTGAGAAGTACAACGATTTTATATACGTTGTTATCAAAAGAGTGTAAAATATTTAAAGAGGTAACAGTATGGATCAAAATAAACAAAACAGTTTAAACAAACATGGATCCAGGGCCGGCCCCAATGATCTAGGGGCGCCAAAATCATGGAAAATGAAAATAAACTGATAAAAAAAATTAAGTTACAGGCTTTTATAAAATGCACTAAAAAGTAGAGAATATTTTTGTATCATTCTGATATCATATCAATAAATTATTTTTCATAATTTTGCATTGTCATCGACCCTTGTAGGTATACCAAATTTCATTGAAATCGGTTCACGGGAATTTTCTCAAAAACGCGTTGCAAGATTTGACTGATAGTTGATAAGATTAAGAGGCGGCAGGCGGAATTTATTATTTTTATTTCTAAGCACATAATTCAAATAAAATAATATATTTAAACATTAAGGCAAAATCTATTTGAATTCAATTCAACATGACAAAACCACTCAACCACCGCCTTTCAAGTTTTTCGGCACGTGGCAACACGACTGTACAGGAAACAATTTTGAAACCAAGCGAAACAAGATCTAACAGCCCTTTTTAACTGCATATAAAAAGGAAGTAGACTTAAAACAATGCATTATTTGTCAGTGCCAAATAAAATAGTTTGTTTAAATTGTTAGTGCAAAAAAGCTTTAAAAAAGTGCTTGTGCAAACTGTTCAGTGCGTTTGGCTTCTTTGAAGGTAAGTGTTTTAATTTTAGTTTTCATTTTTAAAAACTAAAAAAATCCATCAGACATAAGCCCAAAAAAGGGTAGGGGGTAGATTTCAAAAATTAGTTTTAATCAAAACATGGCTTGTGTGGTATCAAATGAAAGGTAATTGAGTCATGAGTTGAATAAAATGCATTTTATTTTTTAAGCCAGTGGCGCACAAGGGGGGGGGGATTTCAGAAATTATAATTTAAATCAAATCATGGCTTTTTTTGATATCAGTATTATCTTTTATTTTAATTAATTTGTTCCAGAAACCAAAATGTCCGATGCTAAGAGAAAACCCTCTGGGAGCGAATTTAAAAAGCGGAGATTGAACAAGCAAACACAGCTTTAAAAACAGTCAGATGCGCTGCAAAACTTCTTGAAAGAAGGTAGTTTCAACGCTCTCACAACCGACCAACATTTAAACAACGCCCAGCACCTAGATACTAACTTTCCAGATATGGACCCCCCTTTGGACGCAACCGTCAGCATTACTGAGCTGGGTAAGTCATCTCAAACGAGTTTAGCGAGTAGTGATGCAGTTCCGTGCAGTTCCAAAAATCAAAATTCGCAAGTTGTGCAGACCTCAGAGAAACATTTAGAAAAGGCTACCGTTCAAAGTATCTCTTCTGACCCAGGAGTATGGGTATGGTTAAACGTGGTCCAGCCGCACCTTTGTATAATTTTGATTTTCCTTATGATGATCAGCATAAAAGATTCTCACCAAAACATTACAAGAAAAGGCTTAGAAATGGAGAAGAGGTTTTAAGAGAATGGATGGTATACTCCGTATTTCAAAACGCTTTGTACTGTTTGCCATGTCGACTTTTTCTGCACCATCTAGCTTGAGCGCTCTTGGCAATCGGAACTGGAAGCATTTAGGGGACTCTTTAGCACATCATGAAAATTATAAAAAGAAAATAGGTGAAACAATAGATGCAATTTCTCAGAGACTCATTGATTCTGAGATAAATCACTGGTCTAAAGTTCTTTTACGCATTATATCAGTCGTTAAAATGCTAGGTGAGCTCTCTAGCTTTTCGAAGAACAAGCGATAAACTGTATGAACACAATAATGAACACAATAATGAAAAGTTAATTCAGTTATTATCTGAGTTTGATACAAAAATGGAGGAACACGTTCGCAGAGTCCTCAATAAAGAAGAAATCAAAGCTACATATCTAGGGAAAACTATACAAAATGAAATATTTGAATTATTTCATGACAACATAAAGCACCACATCATTGAGCAAGTTCAAAAGGCCAAGTAGTATTCCGTGATTCTTGACTGTACTCTCAATGCGAGTAAAGTAGAACAGATGACATTATTTGTGGTAAAATTTGTCTCCATACAGGAATCAGAGTCTGAAGTTCAAGTTAATATCGAACATTTTTTGGGTTTTCTACCCATTGAGAGATCAACAGCTAAGGAATTGTCGGAGGTTTTACTAGAAGAGCTAGAGAAAAATAGGCTTAAAATAGAAAACATTCGCGGTCAAGGGCTATGACAATGGTTCCAATATGAGAGGAGAAAAATCGGGAGTACAAACAAGAATCAGAAATAGAGCATTTTATGTTCCATGCAGCAGCCATTCGCTAAATTTGATTGTAAACGATATGGCAAAATCCTCGTTTGAGGTTTAAGGTTTTGTCTGGAGCGCCAAAATGTCTAGGGCCGGCCCTGATGGATCCTTAAAGTAACGGTATCGGAGATATGGTAGATTTTTATTTTTTGAAAAATTTAATTACAATTATTACTAACCTATTTATTAAGTACAAACAAATAAACAAACAAACATATAAATCAACAAAAGAAGCTTCTTTAATATTAGTGGCAAAAACAACGTTTAAGCTTAATTATTGTTCATAACACAGTTGTTCCTAAAGTTTTGGTTAAATTATTTTTTTTAACATAGTTATAGTACTTTTTCAATGTTAATCGATGCTAAATTATTAGTTATTAAATACTTTGCTATTAAATTACGCTTTTTATTTTTCTGCACTTAGTGTCGCTTAAATAAAAAAAATTTTGGTTTTTGCATGAGGGTAGAAAAAATATTGTGTGCAATTCGTTCAAAAAGTGTTTATTGCACTTGTTGCATAAATAACTATTTATATATCCGAAACAGTTCCTTTGCAGGCTCTTTTTTATTAAGGCATTTTTTTGTTTATTTTAGTCCATATTGTTAGCTCTTTAAATATTTTATACTTTTTTTATCGCCCTGTATAATTTTAATATAATAATTTATTCAATACATATATTTTTCTTTTTTGGGTTATCATAAATGTTCTTGTCCACAATAATAGGTAGTTTATGTTATAAAGACGAAGAGTTTTGTTTTTTCGAGTAGTCTCGCCTGGAAAATCATAGAAAACCGAAAGAGTAATTTTCGTCGGTGTTTCATGGATTATATTTAAATTGATATTATTTCCAAATGTATAGATTATATAGGGGAATATTTTTAGAAGCAATGAAATGATTTACAATACGTAATTTGTTTTGTTTTACAGATATCTAATTAAAAAAAAATTCTGAAACAAGTCGCTCTAAACTTTTAATTTCAAGACCAATGGTTGTAAGATTTTTTAAATTTTCATAATAGAATCAACTCCATATAATAACGAAACTCTAAAATACCCAATTTTAATTTTTTTATTTTTAACTCATTTACTTAATGAGAAAGTAAGTACCTATAGGTATTGTGTTCTAAAAATAAACTGATCTAGCAAGGTTAAAGATAACTCTGGTTCTCTGTGCAAGAACATTTAAGTTCAATGAACTAATTATAAAATACGGGTTTCAGAATTTTTCGCACTTTGCAAATCCCACTTGTGCAACTACGTCAATAAAATGTAACTTTCCTAGCTAGACGTTGAACATTATTTTTTTTATTTCTTTTGTATAAACTGGTACAAAACAACACTTGCCTCAGGTGCCTACCTACCTCCATTTATGGCAGATAGGTTTCAACATTTCGAAACTGAAAATAATGTATCTAATTTAAACTTGCACTATTCCTGAAATCAAATCATTTTTAACAGACTTCAAAAAAAGGAGGAGGTTCTCAATTCGTCGTAATATTTTTTTATGTATGTTCAGCGATAATTCTTTAACACGGTGTCCGATTTCAATGATTCTTTTTTGTTAGAAAGGGGGTATTTCAGGGCTGGTCCCATATAAATTTGGTCAAAATCTAATAATTGGGTCCATGAGAAAATCCTCAAATTCTTCATTTTTTATGTATGTTTAGCGATAATTCTTTACCATCTTGTCCGGTTTATATGATTCGTTTTTTGTTAGTGAGGGG